TTTTCCTTTCGACATTTTTCATTTCGACATTTTAACTTTTCGACATTTTTCATTTCGACATTTTAACTTTTCGACATTTTTCCTTTCGACATTTTTACTTTTCGACATTTTTACTTTCGACATTTTGCTTTCGACATTTTTCCTTTCGACATTTTTCTTTTCGACATTTCTCAGTACATTCAGTTCATCTGCAGAGATCTTTGGAGTCGAGTTATGATCGTTTGATTGAACTTTTGACCCAATTTTTAAGTTTTTACTGAAAATTTTGTCCATAGATAATGTCTAATGAACTGTTGAATATTCTGAAAGTTTCAACCGAAAAGAATGCTTTTTCTTTTGTCAAGATATAGAATTTTCTACGGATCTTTAGACCTATGTATGGATGAAATTGTATTATTTGATTTTTCAATGAATACCTAAAAATGGATCAAAAGCACCGTAAAACGATCATAACTCGACTTCAAGAGCTCTTCTGAGACTTCCTGTGAGCCTAGTATGAGGTCAAACGGCAGATATGCAATTCGAATGGTGTCTTCGTAAGCAATGAAAACTGATTGAGATACAAACAAAAGACTGATCAATAATTTATTCTTCCCCATCTACTAATTACTATCCATTTAGAAAGATTATGAACTCTGTTTTTCTTGAATAACTTAAGAACGTCAATAGCTGGCGACTTACGGTTTACACTAATCGAAAGAACGAAATCAAAGATGTAAATCTATGTACAAGCTAATCTATTAAACAAGGTACATGTTTGTAATTTTACAATAAACTTATCCAAATCACTAAAATAAACTGATATATCTGACATTGAAATCAGTTGTCTTCCGAAGTTAAATATAAAAAATACGAGTATTTTATAACAACTTGAAGCCAAATTTCAAGATGCCAAGGTGTCGATTACTTTTATGAATTGATCCATCAATTTTATATTTGATTCACTTTTTCCATTTCGTTCTTTCGAGTGATGAAAACTGCAAGTCTCTACCTGCTTATGTTCTTAAGTTATTCAAATAAAAATGCAGCAACAATGAGGCCTTTACATAGAACACACGTTTATGACTTCTGTGTAAATCACATTTTTTTGTATCGATAAAAAAGTGAAGATTCTAAATTTGGTGTTACTTTTGTCGAAATATACTTTTGTGCATACACAGTAAATGTGTCATATAGAAAAGAATTACCTCTGAAAATGACATCCAATACAAAGCTATGGGAAAACATGGAACGTCATTTTACAGAGTACACTTTTGTGGAAAAGCTTTTAGTGTGAAAGAAAAGTTTATTTCTTCTAATAGAAAAAAGGTAAAGCAGAATTTTTTTTTAATAGGGAACGGAAGTTACTGTGACTTGCCAGTTACGCTACCAGTTATTGAGTAACGTCCAATAGAAACTTTGCGAGTGTATCAAAGAAAAGCTATTTTTCGAAAATAAAGGTTTTTTCTTATAAAGTTTAATCAAAGATTTTTGAGGTTGAAGAAGCTAAATCTCTATCATAAATCTTGAAAAGCTGATCAAAGATTCAAATTTTTCGATCCTCAAACACCTTTAATAAAACTCTATCAAGAATCATTATTGTCGAAAAATAGACTTTCCTTGATAAACTCGCAAACTTTCTGTTACTCGATAATATAACGGTAACTTACCACCTCTATTTACGAGTTTATAGCGGAGATACTCTACTTGCAGAATAGTATACAACTTGCTGAACCACTCTGCCTACATGCTATGCAAAAAAGTGAACTTCTTGTCAAGATTGTTGGTAAATATTTTTAGTTTTTCAAGTTAAGCTCTTTCCGATAAACAAAGGAGCCGAAACAAAACCTTTCTCTATATTTTAATTGACTATAAGCCAAAGTATACTCTACATTATTCAAAACATCAAAGATTTTACTATCATTTTTTAACCTAATGTCGACGTTATTGTTTATTGTACTACAATATCAGTTTTACTAATTATAATATTTCTTTTATACAATCAATATTGAGCATTTTTTTTATTAAATTAAATTTTTCCTTTTTCTTTCTTTCAGAAATACATTCTCAAATCAGTCTTACAACACAAGATGTTTTTAAAAAAATCATTAAAATATTTATCATAATTCAATACACAGACATTTTCCAATGCATTATAATTCTAAGTCAAGGTTTACATTTGCTATCTTGACAATATATCTGTCCTTAACTGCCATCTATAGTCTTGATCTATACTATATTTATGTATAATATGAAAGCGCTACTATCCTTGTTATTAAAATTGCATGTGACTGCACCGATTACTCTACATCCGAACATTTATATGAGAAAAAAAAACTATCAGCATCTATATTTAATTAATTATTTTAGATAATTTTTTTTCCTATTGCGTATAACCTTTTTTTTTCTTCTTTGAACATATTTATCGATTATGGATGATGCAGATTCAATTGATTTATCGGACAATGATGAATTTATGCTTGATGTTGAAATAACACCAGCTAATGTTCAAGATGCTATTAACATGGCATTAGCCGAAGATGATAATAGTAATAGTAATTTAACAACTAATATTGATTTACCACCATTATCTGATGAATTAATTAATTTTGATGGAAATAAATTTGGTGAAGAATTACTTTATAAAATAGAAAATGATAATATTGAAAAAATATTATATCAACATTGGAAAACATTTGTTCCACAATGTTATATATATCATACAAATTTAATCAAAGGTATTATTGAACAACGTACACAAGAAATACTTTTTCGACCACTTGATATATTTTTATATGGCACATTAAATACTGATGAAGCTATACAAACTATTCGTTCATATAATAAAAAGTCAACTGTATGTGGACATTTATTTAAATCTGAAGAACCAACATATTTTTGTCGTGATTGTTGTGTTGATCCAACATGTGTTTTATGTACGGATTGTTTTCTTCAAAGTGAACATCGAAAACATCGATATAAAGTATATTTCTTTTTTTACAAAATACAAAAAACGACAAATATATTTGTTTTATTTATTAAATTTAGATGAATGTATCAGCTGGTGGTGGTTATTGTGATTGTGGTGATCATGAAGCATGGAAACAATATGTACATTGTAATTTACATTTACCACATGATGATGATAAGGAATCCGCTGATGATATACTTAATCGTTTACCATCTGATTTACGTTTACGTGCTAAAAGATTATTTAGTATTTTACTACGTTTTATAATTAAATTACTTTGCACAGAAAATTATCAAGATACACCGAATGAATTAAAAAATGAGTAAGATTTTTTATTTTAAATATAAATATATAAAAGACATTAGTAAAATATACTCTAAGTGCTGTTTTATTTCAGATCTAGAGCAGTCGATAGAACTTGAAATGCTGAGTCTACTGGATTTCATTCTCATCCATTTGAAAATAAAAGAAAAAGAAAAAACTTTTTATAGTGGATCATTCTGAATAGAACCTGCCGGCTTCAAATTTTTCGATTCAGAACTCAGTTTATTGAATGTTTTTTGGGATTCAGACCCAGTCGAATCGTACTTTAACACTCTCAATGAAATTTTCTAATCGAAATCGCATAGCCATTAAGCATATACTATAACTTCATCTAATGTCATTTTCCAGAATCTTTATTTGTTTGAGATTTTGGCTTAGAGTAGAATTCAATAGACTCATAATGTCAAGCTCTATCGACTGATATAAATCCTAAATAAAACAGTGCTTAGAACGTATTTTACTAATACCCATCTTAAAATAAATCCCGATTGTTCTTTTTTGCCTTTAGATATTGGGATGGTGATCATAGAAAATATGTAACTATTTTATTTAATGATGAAGTTCATACATATGATCAAGTTATACATGTTCTTAGTCGTGCTATACAATGTAGTAAACCAGAAGGTCATGAATTAGCATCATTAGTTGATCGTGAAGGTCGTACAGCTATACGTATTGGTACAATGGAACAATGTTGTGATGTTCAACAAATCATACGTATACGTACAGCTGATACTCCACTTAAATGTGAAATATATCCAAGTTCATTTATATCATTACAATATTTTGCACAAAAACTTTTAACTTATTTACAAAATACTATTGAAATATCGGATGGTTTTCGTCGAGTATTTTGTGAATGTGAAATTGAAAGTGATGAAGAATTAGATATAACTCGTACAGAAAAAGCATTATTAAGTGAAAAAATGCTTTGGAAAAGTGCACGATCAGCATTACATCAAATTTTTATTAATAGGTAATGAGAACAACAACAACAACAACGCACATAAACATTTGAAAGATTGACATGATATTTTTTTTTGTTTTTCTAGTTTTTTTATGGATTCTGAATGGAAGAAAACTTTTGCAATTTTGTACATGAAAGTAAGATTAATGTTATTATTGTAATACGCAATATGAGTAGCTTGAAATTCTTGTGATAATCAATTATAAATGGCTACATGGAATGAAGAAAAAAAATCAGAGATAACTTCTTTAATCTTGAAAAATTTTCGTTTTCTCTTCAATGTCTTATTGTTATAAAAACTGAAAAATCTAGATTTTTTCTTTTGGAAATTTCCTATACAGCGCAACAATATTTGCGTTGGACATAGATGAATTATTCATTTTACGGGATGAGTCATTCAAACGACAATGTAGAAACAAATATGTTTGTTTTTGTTGTCTGATAAGTTGAGTGTGGGAATTTTATAACAAAGTTATTTTTACCATTAAGTAGACTATATTTCGATGTAAATTTTCCCAATATTTAAGTCTTGAAAAAATAAAACTCTCATGTGTAGTCAAATGTTTGTCTATAGGCACACTTAAACTCCGGTCAACTTTAGCAAAAATTTTCCAATCGATCTCCTGAGTCATTCGACCCGTTCCGATTCTACCGACCTCGGGTACTTCTGATCATAGCGTTTTTGTATAGCATAGTGTTTTATCTTTCTGAAAAGCACAGATCTATTTTTAGTAGTACAGACGTGTCACACGTGTTTCAATTTCTACAAACACTGGAATAGCCAATCCGATCTTCGGAAGGTGTCTACATTCTATCCTAGATAATCTAATAAAAATCAAAAGTTTTTGGTATTTTTCAAAAAATCTCCTAAGCCAAACTTTCAAATCTTTCTGAGAGTTTTCATTTATCCAAGGAAAACAATTGCTACGAAAAAACACCAAGTTGTATATTGTTCGTAAAAGGCTACTCATATTGCGTTATTAATTAATATCCGACGAGGAAAAACGATAATTAAATCTCATACATTATTTAGAATTATTCTACTGTTTGGCGAAATTTTGTCAAAGATCCCGACGAATATGTTTCATTCACTGATCTTTCTGTTCAAGTTTACACTGTACCTACGCTGGTAATAATTAAGATACGAGCCGAATAAAAAATGATGAATGCATGTCGTTAAACATATAAAAATTTTCGTTTTTCCTCGTCGATATAATGACAACAAACGAAATAATTTGATTCGTTTTTTTTTGTCATCTAATTTCTAGTGTTATCCGATGATCATACGACATTATCGAAATGATCTTTCGTTACTTTATCGTATTGATTGTTTTGTAAGATTATCTGTACAATTATTTACTACTCAAAGTCTTGTAAGAATAAAAAAATAGATTTATATATATATAACGACATGCATTTAGCTTATTTTTATTGATGAAGAATAATACGTATATATATATATATATGTTTAGGCAAAATATTTAATATCATCACATAATGCATTTCAAACAATCGTAGATTCATTTCTTGAATATTGTCAATCAAAACTTGATCATGGTAAACTTTTATTTTCAAGAGCAACAAATGCATCAATACAACATGAATTTCGACGTGCACAATCAATACTTTATGATTTAAAGTATTGTTTTAATATTTATTTATTTATTTAAAATAATTTTTTGTTTTAAAGATATTTATTAGGTGTTGTACCTCAAGAATATACAGTTGAACTTCGAGAAAATTCTCTCAATGGTTTTCGAGCATTTCTTCAATTATTAGTTTATATGCATGTAAATAGATTTATTTTTATTAAAAAACTTTTTTTCATTTGTGAAACTCATATGATGTTTTTCGACAAAAAAATAATATTGAGCAGCTCTCTTTCATATTATCGGAAGGAAAGGTCAACGGTCATCAGGTACATTTTCATAGCAAACTAATTTAGCAGATATCAGAATCTTTTCCCAGAGTTCCTTATTGCGCAGATACAATTTTTTATGCATTGATTTGGCACAGATCAAGTTAATTAAAATCAGTTTTTATCAGTACAACAAGCTTATGTGCCAGTTGAATCGATAATAATAGTATTGAATTAAGAAAAATGAAAAACAAAACAACGAGCGAATAGAAATAAGGCAAACAAAAAAATAGAGCGTCAGAAAAAATAAAAAGAACGAATTTACTGTTCGAAATGAAGAGATAAATAGAATAGATCGCTTCCTTGTGGATCGATTTCTGTTAGAAAATAATAGAAATATGCAGAGTAAGCATTTTTCGTATGCTGAACCTCAACTGACAAAAAACTTTTCTAACTTTATCATGCAAGATAGTGTAGGAAAGTTCTACACATCTAAAGAATACATATGAGTTTCATATTTTAATCTGTAATGGAGCTATGCTAATAAGCTTTTTGTTTTCTATGAAATAACTAAAAACTAAATACATAGGGTATGGATAAAGTTACACGACAAGTTGGACAACATGTAGAATTTGATCCTGAATGGGAAACAGCATTTAATTTAGTTATTAAACTTCAATCAATTGTTTCATCGATATTAGATTGGTGTGCACAAGATGTAAGAATAAAAATAAAATAATTTTTTTTTTAAATTTTATATTATATTTATTATAGGCAGAATTATTACTTGGTGCATATGAAGCAACAGGCTCAGCATTATCAGAAATACAAAAAACAAGTGATATATCACATTTAATTAAAGATAAAAATAATTCATCAATTGTTAAAACAACTGTAAATGATCTTAAAGTTGATTGTTATGCATATGATGTCGCGAAAGATCCTATTTCAGTACATATTCCGGTTGTAAGATTACTTGTTGGTAAGATTTTAATTAAAGAAAAAGAAAACTAACGATGGAATTAACGAGTATGATAGCTAGAGATACACTAATGACCAAAATCTTCGTTTTTGATTTTTTTTTCTTTTCGCTTCTGAAATCATCAAGATTCTATGAAGAATTTATAAAACTTATTCACGAGGTTTATACTTTCGTTCTTGATAATAGGGACGAGTAATAATCATAACTACAAGATTCTATAGTGCCTTGGCGTAAAATTCAGGATGAAAATTTTTTTTTTTTTTCTCAATATTGTATAAAAGCTACGACACACTACATATCGTTTACTAATAGCGATTTATTTAGCTGTTCTTATTCACTTACGTTATAACAAGAAGAAAATGGAGACTTATTGACAAACAGGACGTTTAATCATGTTGGTACTACGAACGAAAACTTTATTGAGAGAATCGACAAAATAGTTTTGAATGTTTATAAATATTGTGAGATAAATTCGAAGAAGTAGACAGAGAAATAAAAAGTGATAAAAAAGCAACCCTTTCACCCTAAATTTTACGCCCAAATGACTATAGTTATCTAATAAAAAAAGAAGAAGAAGCGATTATTTTTAAAAATTTAGCTATTTAAATGACTAAATAATATGTTTTTATATTTAGCACTTCATATTCATCTACAAAAGTATACTAATGTAGAAACAACATTTAATAATCTGGTTAATATTCATTATTTTTGTTTTATAAAATCTATTCGAATATTGTTTTTCTTAGTGTGAAAAATTCAAAATTTATCCATGTTTTATATACGAAGAAGCATTACGTATTCAAGTTCTTTGTGCTCAACATGTTGCTGGTCTATGGAAACGAAATGGTTATTCATTATCGAACCAAGTAAATATGAATTTTATAATAATATTTTCAAAACTAAAAATATTTATTTAGATTTTTTATTATTCAAATGTTAAATGTCGAAAAGAAATGTATGATCGTGATATTCTTGCATTACAAGTTGGCGCTTCATTAACATCTCCTGATATATATTTAATTCAGCTTATGCATAAATTTAATTTATTAGAATGGATTCGGTATGTATGTAGTTTAGGGCATATTAACTAGGTCCGAAATATTGAAATTTTCATAAGTTATCATCATATTATTAGTCAAAAAGTAGGTTTCCCTATGACAAGAATTTCTTCTCTAAATCTAATTATAAAGAGTTCGCCTTGGTTTTAAAATGTAATGAAGAACTGCTGCTATAACTGAACAGAGCTTAATCTTGCACTTTCTCTTGGAAGAGCAGTGTCATTATGAGGAAAAAATTCAGTCTAAAAAAAAAACATGAAATGATTTTTGACATTGAAAATCAAGTTATACCTACCGTGTTGCTAACCTATAGAGAAACTCAAAAGATTTGGACGATTAAGCGTCGTAAATTGAATTGAGGGGTGGGTGTGAGTGTACATTTGGATCTTTTCTATGTTCACACCAATTTTGTACTATTCTGGGGCATTGAATCTGAAGTAGTCAACAAACCAAACAGCTTTTCATTGACGATTGGGAACATTGAATATTAGGTATAAAAACCTTGAAATGAATTCGAATCAGTTGCTGACCGAATTAAATTTATTGATCGAAGATTAGAAAAATTAAGATAAAATTCTACTTGTAAATTTATCAGTACTCATCTTTGTGTATATTTTTAAATAAAATGTTTTCATGTTATTTCAAAGTCATAAAAAAAGAATCTCATTTTCGATATTTTTCATCTCCATGTCTTCCTCTTCGGCAGAGATGGAACCTATAGCGGTCCGGATTGCAGACTGGCCATTACTAGTGTTTTATTTCTTGGTTTTGCTCTTATTATCTGATAGAGCATGTGTAATGAAATTCTGTTAAAAGTTAACTACATCAAATATCACTATCTATAAAGCAGAATACTACGACAACTTATCATTTTGGTGTTGGCATAGATTTCAGACCGATTAATCCGGTACCGGTACGGAGCGTGAAAAATCTACACTGATTCCATCTCTGCTTTTTCAATATTTTCCTTTTTCACTATACTCTCGTCAATCACTCTTCGATTTGGAAGTTTTTTGGACAAAAACTTTGCATATATTGTCGTAAAGCCGACCTATTCAGCCACGATCATTAATCTGAATAAAAATTGAGAATTCTGACCGAGAGATCGACCTTAAATATTTGTTTTAATTATTTAAATCTTAGGTCTCCTGAATATGGTCATTCATCTGAAACGGAATCGAAAGTAAAAGAAAAAGTTCGTATTATGGAAGAATTTCTACATCTATTAATAATTATTGTTGGTGAACGACATGAACCAGGTGTTGGAAAAGTAACACGTGAAGAAAAATTAACACGAGAAGTTATACATCAATTATGTATATCACCAATGGCACATTCAGAATTAATACGAGGTTTACAAGATTGTGGACAATTAGAATTAGTTTCGTATAATTATTTTTATTTTAAATTACTAAGAAAATACATTTATTTCTTTTTCTTGTTTAGGGATCAGGAGATTTCGAAGCTGTATTGAAAGAAGTTGCTGATTTCAAGTAAATTAAAATCTTGTTTAAAAAAAAAACAAATTGTTTTCTTTTTTAATGAATAATATAGGAGAGGTAATGCAACAAAAGGAAATTATGAATTAAAAGCAAATCGACTGTCAGAATATAATCAATTTTATTATCATTATTCAAAAGCTGATCAATGCAAAGTAAGAATAAAGAATATTTTTCAGATAAATTCTTATGAAATTTAAATGTAGAACATAATTAGAAGTTAATAATTTGAAAAAAAGAATTATTAATGTAAATTTTTAATAATGATAAAATCTATTTGAAAGCAGTGTATTGTCACTTTTGTTCGTAAAACAAAGGGAATGAAATCAATAATATAATCAGACGGAGGCCATTTGGACTTTCAGCTCGCCTACCAACAGTTGGGTTTCGCATAGAACGAGACTTGAGTCTCCTCTAAAGGTCTTATCCGAAGAACTTTTTATGTAGCGACTATTTTTAACTTTGCAAACCTTACGTGACACTTATTTCGAGTGCATAACTTTAGATTCGATATTTTTCGATTTCTCTTTCTTCTTTAACCTTACAAAAATTTGTTCCTAACGACATTTATAATATCTAATCTGTTAAAAGTTTCAAGTAACCTACCATCAAAAATAAAGAATTCAGCTAATAGACTTTTTTTTATTTTACTTACCAAATAAAGATAATATTATTTAATAATATCCTAGATTGGCTTAATAAAACAAAAACTTGAACTATCATACATCATAAGATCCTTTTTTTTTCGCTGTATCCATTAAATCATCGAAATAATAGAAAGAATTTTTTTTTCACAAATTCGTAGAAAGCATTTCTATTGATCTTCTCTAGAATAGAATAACTTGAAATTTCTCATTTTTAACTTGTCAATGAAAACAGTGTTTTATACAGCATCGGATTTAAAAACCAACTCGACCGTCTCCAATAGGAGGCCAAGAGGGCTACATCTTACGGAAGATCGACTTAGCCCTGTCGAAGTATATTGTTATTATTCCATGTACTATGTATCCTGTGCTCCTAAAACTAAATGTTTCGCCCTCTCGAAATTCTAAATCGCCTCTCCGAAAGAGAAAATCTCCATGAAAAAAATGTTTTCCTTTTTAGTCTGAAGAATATGTAATTAAACGTCGAAAACTAAGCGATGATGGTATATCAACAACATTATTCATCCCTTGTCCACCATTATTTACTGAAGCATTTCAATCAATAGTACATATTCTTGATAGTAATATCTTTCTAACTTTACTTAAAGCTTGTCTTTATCGATCAACGGATCCAAAAGCTCATTTATGGTCTGAAGCTATTCTTAATCGAGTAAATATTAAAAAATCAAAGTTTTCTTTTTTTGTATTAAATAAATAAAATCATATTTTTATGATTTATAGGCATTACATTTAATAACTTTCGCTTGTTATGAACAAGAACGTGAATCAAATTTTGAATTTTATTCTAAATTTCAAAAATTTGAACTTGATAAATTAATAAATCAATTGCATTTAAATACACCATCAAAAGCAGAAACATGTAAAGAATTACTTGCTTATGCTATTAAAGTTTGTATATAAAAAAAGAAAAGAATAAAAAATTTTGTTATTCTTCATAAATTTTCTTTTAGCTCTATAATAAATTTAGTCAAACAACTGAACAATTTAATTCTTCAACAACATTAACTACTAATCAAGAAACATCAGATTTAACTAAACGTGCACAACGTAAACGAAAAGATTTAGCTGCACAAAAACGTGCCAAAATTATAGCACAAATGACTGAATTACAAAAGAATTTTATTGAAAAAAATATTCAATTATGTTCAGATAGTATAGATGAATCACAAATATCAACCATAGAATCTCCATTATCAGGAACATTTTCACAATTATCATCAATGATAAGTTCATCGGATCAACAAATATTATCAACATCACCAACAACATCATTAAAATTTGAACCTATGATTATTGATGATACATATCCAATAATACAATGTTGTTTTGGTAGAAATGATAATGAATTATCTCAATCAACAAAACAAATTTTAACATGTATATTTTGTCAAGAAAATAGTGAAGTTAAACTTAATTCAGAAGCTTTAGTACTTTCAGCTTTTATACAAAAGTTAGTTTTTAGAAATATGAATTTGTTTTTTGTTTTTTTTTTTCTTTTACAATTTTCTTTTTAAATATTATTTTTAGTTCAAGAGTTTTATCAAAAAATCGTACACGACGTATTGAAAATTGGGATACATTTGATCCAACATTTATGTCAAATGATCTTCATTGGGGTGTACATGTTTCATCATGTGGCCATGCCATTCATGCTGCATGTTGGACAAAGTAAGTTTAATTTATATTTCATTATCTTACACGAAACAAACAGTTTTTTTCGGAAAATAAAGCTTTCTGATCAGTAATGTAACCAGAAAAAAGTTATACGAGAAGGTCTGCAAAGGACGATGAAGAATCTTCTAGAAGCGACTTAGATCCTTCTCTGATTACGCCACTCTCTCTGATGTTAACTTCTTTTCTGTGTTGATTATTTAACGATAGCCTGAAAAAAAATTAATCTTTAAGGTAACGTTCAGATGAAGACTATTGCAATTGGAGCAAGTCATTTCGAGGAAAAAAAAGTTTTTCTATTCAACTTGTCCTTTACAGGAAGGCTCATGCAGTGTTTTATCTAGATCTTTCCAATCCTATCTCCGACAGATTCTCGACGCTATAAAAAAAAAACCTTGAACTCAAGCTATTTTAAAAGCTAATCTCGACCATTTGTAGGAGAGGAGATAACCAAGCTTCCATTTCCTGGAGTTATTGAAGTTCACTTTTAACAAAAATGATATTTCCGCAAAGAGATGTCGATGACCTGTCTAACTTATTCTTTCATAATTTTTATGTTTTTATCGTCTCTATTTGAGATAAGTAGTTCTGATTTCTGTTTCTCTCTGTATTTTGGTTAGTGAGTTAAGGTTTTAAGGTAAAATCAAACTATTCTTTTTAATTCAACTGGAAATTTGTTGACTTTCGAGATGAAATCAATGACGATAGATCAATAGCCAATTAGTTCGAATTAATCCATTGAAACTCAACAAGCAGGCTTCTATTCCATCAATTGCTTGAGATATTCATATACACTTATAATCAATATAATGAACATCTACAGAAAAATTAACAATAATCGGGGAATTCTTTTATCATATACGTCAAGAGATATTGTCAAACTATATTATTTTATACTAATAACAATTCTATTATAAATTTTCTGAAAGTTTATTTTCATAAAAGAGAAAAAGTCAAATAAAAAAAACAAAAAAATTCTTTCTCCTATTAGATATCATAATTCAATAACATCTCAAGATCATCGTCGAACATTACGTATGCGTGGTTCAGCAAATTATGATACAGAACGAAATGAATTTCTTTGTCCATTATGTCAAACATTAAGTAATACAATAATACCAATATTACCATCATTACGTACATTTGCTGATGAAAGAAAATTAGCTCAAATGTCATTTAGTGAATGGTTAGATGGTTTAGAGAAAGCACTTAATGGTAGTATTGAATCTCGATATGAAATTGATACACATGAACAACAAATATTTTTTAATCCATGTCCATTAACAACAATAACAAAAATGATGGCTGAACGTGCAGCACAAAATTTTCAATTATTATTTGGTTTTGCAGGAGATTCAAGGTAATGTATTTAAGTATATATATATATATATATATATAAATATTTTTTTGTTTATATGAACATTTCTTTTCTTTTTTTTTTTTATTCTAGAGCACAAGATTTTTCTGATAGTATTCGTGAACGTTTAATGAATTTTGCTAAAAACGTCTATGTGGTAAATAAACATATTTTATTTTTATTTATTTATTTATTTTTATGTATTTTATAGTTTGGATTAAATGTTGATCCAGATGATGATAATGATCGTATTCCAATTATACTTTGGACATCATGTGCATATACAATACAATCAATAGAACAATTACTTCGTATTGATTCAAAATCAATATTTTCACAATTATCAATTCGACAAAGTGAATTAATTAATTGTTTAACTAAAGTTGCTGCTGCTTATGGTTCATTACATGATAGTGATAAAATAAAAAAACATTGTTTAAAATTATTATCAGGTTAAGTTTTAGATAAAAAAGAAAAAAGAAAAGGAAGAATATTTATTTTTTGTTTATATATATATAGTTCTTCTTTTATCACGAACAAATATTCAAATACCATCAATTGTTAATATTGATCTATTTCATCTTCTTGTTTCACTTTGTTTTACTTTACCAATTTTATTTGCATCAAAACAAACATCACCATCATTAACAAATGTTCCAACAGGAAATCTCAATGATCTTTATCTTGTACGACTTATTCTTATGGCACATTGTATACAAATTCTGTCAAGTCAAGGATTTTTATATGAAATCAGTAAGAGCTAATTAATGAAAAGATTGTTTTTTTTTGTTTTGTTTTATTTATTATAGAAAATGATGATCATCAACAATCAAAAATGAGACAGAAGAGCATTGATGATGACGCAGAAAAACAAACTATTGAAAAATTAATCGAGAAAATTATTAAAAATCAAACGTAAATTTTTATTTTCATTTATAAAAAATTTATATAAATTTTTCTTTTAGACCACCGTCTCCTTCAGCTCAATTATTATCTCTCGAAGAAATTCGAGATAAATTAAAAGAGTCTTTACTGCCATTACTTCGATGTACTGCTCTATTCTATCGTTATTTAACTGGAATATCATGGCCAGTAGAATCAGGTGAATAAATTTTGAAAGTTAAATAGAAAATTTTAATAAACATTTCTCTAAGGACTTGATGAATATTCAACAATATGTCATTATCTTGGTTTACCAATATGTTTATCAAAATTACTTGATACAGAAAATGAACGTTTTTCAAATGATCTTATTAATAATTGGATATTAACTTTATCAACAAGTAAATCATTGATTAAATATCCGATATTAGTCAATGAATTACATCAATTACCTAAAGAATATATTGATCTTATGAATCAAGTATCTCAAGGGTAAATATAAAAAAATGAATTTTCTTTTTTTTTTTTTCATTATTACAATGCAAACCACTGTAGCATAACTATTCTCTGAACACATGACTCGAAATCACTATTATATAGCGCGATGATCTGAAGATCGAAAAGTCGTACAATTTTTATTCAAACATTGTTACAAAGCTCTGTGTTTCTATATGATCAATTTTGTTTTCTGATATGAAGTTTCGTTTGTTCTCAATTTGCTTCACAAAAGGATTATTTTGAAGTGAGAACTCTGCTTTATTGTCTTTTTTTATTGTTTCGAGATAATAAAAGTGACTTTCAACAGTAACAATGATAACACAATCATTCCAGTTTAAGGATTTACTTCACACCACAAGCTTAATCTTTATATCATCTAGTTTCATTTTTATTGATTTTCTTTTTGTTTCTATAGTGTTGCACCATATAAATATGCACGTGATGAAGCTCGATCACCATGTATATGTTTAACTTGTGGTGATGTTGTTGTTCGTTCATCATCATCGATAACAACACCAAATTTATTAACAACAAATAGTTTAATATCAACATTACTTAATATTGATCAAAATGTTGGTCCATGTAATCTTCATACACAACAATGTTGTGGTTCAATAGGACTTTATTTACGTGTAAAAGAATGTTCATTACTTCTACTTAATATAATTAATGATGGACGTATTAATAAAACACGTGGAACATTTATGCCTGCTCCTTATTTAGATGATTATGGTGAAACAGATCAAAGTTTACGGTAAAAAAAAAAATAATTAATTAATTCAAATAAGATTTTTCATGTTTCAAATATCTTTTTGTGTTTTTTTTAGACGTGGAAATCCATTGCATTTATGTGATGAACGATATCATGTATTATATCGACGATGGTTATCACATGCTATACCAGAAGATATATCACGAAATATGGAATTTAATAATACATCGATCTATGCACATAATTGGAGTCAATTTTAAGTAGACATAACAAAAGACAATCCCTTTGCCTTCATTTTTTTTTGTTCTATCTTATTATAGAAGAATATCGATTTATGTAAAAAAAATCATGAATTTCCTTTTTTTTCTCTGCTTCTTCTCTATTTATCTAATCACGATCAATTGGGATAAATCTTCGAGAGAAAAGATTTCTCATGTGTAATTAAAGACTTATTGTTTTTTTTTTAATTATAAGACAAGGTTAATATACGCACTAAAAGAATCATCATTCGGAGTGACATTTTGTCAATTATTGACAATAAAAAAAAAAAAACAATTTTGTTTAAATAATGTTAATATAACAGTGAATGGATATTAATACTAATCATTGATTTAAACATTTGAAATAATTTTGTCTTGTATGTAACTTCATGCAGAATTTTCTATCGATTGAATAATTAGATAAGATTTCTTCTAATGAATTATTGAAAAGTAAGTAATTTGACAAAATATTCGTTTATTGGTTAGTCTATCGAAATCTAAAAGCATTGGATAAGAATCAGAGTTGTGTGTACTTCAAAATTTTTTGTAGGATCTCTATTTTAAGAGTTATGAGTCGATTTGTTTCCAGATTCGTAAATTGAGTTCGGATGAGCTTCAACACGTCAAAAACTTATTCAAAGTAGAGACGAATATTATTTCAAACATAATGAATGAAAGAGCAAACATTTCTTTATAAAATAACATAGTAATAATTAGTTTATTGCAAGTCATTTAGCAACAGTGAGTATTTTGATAAGATATTCTGTATCAATTTTCTCGAAGTCTATGGTTAATGGACTCAGAAGGTGAGCTCGACCATTCCTGAATGGTCGTTCTGAAACTCTTGATTCTGATACTATTTTATAGAGAACAATCTCGTCTTTTTATCCTATGCAAAAAGCCAACGTCAAATTTCGCCTGCTGAAACTAAACAATACAAAATTTTGACTCAAACTCAATATTCCCAAATTTCTGCAGGTGCCTTTTAATAAGTTGAAAAATAAATGTATATTGTGTCAAATTAATTTTTGATAATCCATTATTTAAATCAAATATGATGATTTTTAAGAGGCACATATCTGATTATCAAAATGAGAAGAATAAAATGTATAAATACTTATGTGAAAACTTATGCAGATATGTTCATATATTAAATCATTGTTAAATACTATTTTCACAAATATCGGTTAAAAACATCCTCTTTTCGGTTAGTTTTCAGACATGTAAACCACGATCATCATTGACAAATTTTTTCCGACGAACACGTATTTATGTGCACTTTGTATAATGAAGCAAGACGCATCTGATCACTGTATTCAAAGTCGAAAATATTTATGAACAGAAAAATTTCGTTCATGACAATATTTAATTACACATATATCTCCAATACACCAGCAGTTAATTCATATTAGCTTCTCATCAATAATAAAAATCAAATTTATTATCATAAAATATCCAGCAAAAAAAAAACCTGCTCTTTTATGCAGTGTATATTTTAAGGGAATGATATATTTCAATTGTTATCTTATTGAGTTCTTTACTAACGAGATGCAGTATGATAGACTTATTGATAAATTATCATTTTCATTTGGAAAAAAATGGCCAATGCGCGAACGCAAGTGGCCGCGGAACAAATTATCCACTCGAGAAAGCCCGATGTGGACTTTTCGCAGGCGTCAACGGGGGCGGTGTGCAATGCCCGCGCCTCGACCTGGAGCATTCGCGTTCCTGATCGGGAATGCATCCGTGGCAGGTAAGTATGCTTGTTGTATCGTCTTCGTCATCTTTATATATTTGTAAAACAAGCAAAAATTGCATGGTAGACTAACGAAATGACAGAAAAGAAAAGGAATAACGATGATTCATCATGAATCATAATTTTTTTTCTTTCGTTCTTTTATTTATATCAAAATCAAATTACAGAAAAAAAAACGAATTTTATTTTTATAAATTTATTCGTTCACCTTGAACAAGCCGACTTTTAATTCTCCAAACATCCTAAATATAGAAAAATAAATTAATACAATCAAAAACACAAAACAAAAAAAAAAAAATCATAATAATTTTACTTCAAAACGTGCATCTTCAGCTCCTGTTCGTTTTTTAAATATTGCTGTAACTTCTTTCGAAATTAATTCTTGTCGACCATCACATTCAATATATTCACATGCAGAATCTGCATAATGGCAAGATATTGACTTATGAAATTAAATAGAACACAATTTCAATCACAAAATTAAGAGAAGAAAAAAAAAAGGCAAGTTTTTTACTTTTCGAAATCCTGCAGTTCTATTCGTTCCACTACCATGAATAAGTAATGGATGAAAAAATACAGTATCACCTATCCACATTTCTAAATGTATTCGTTCTGCATTTGGATCAAAATTTTGAATTCCATGATACATTTTATTGACGCCACCCTAAACAAAAAGTAAAAGAATAAAATTAAAAAAAAAAAACATATTTTTATTATCTTAACCTTCCACTTTGGATATCCATGTTCTTGAAGTTCATCTTTATGTGTTCCAGGTAAAACTACAAGACATCCATTTTCACGATGTATATGTTCCATTGCTGTCCATGCACAAACAATTCGATCAGCTGGTCGAAATGGAAAATAATATAAATCTTGATGAAGTGGATGTCGTGATGTTTGAGTACCCGGATCAGGTGGCTTATTAATTAACTAAATAAACAATTTTTTTTTATAATAAACAATCAAAAAAAAGAACATATTTTGTTGTTTTTCGTCTCTTACCATTGTATGCATAGCCATTATATTTGAACCAGTAAAATTTTCAACATATTTAACAATTTCAGGTAAACAACAATATTGAAATAATTCATCATCTAATGTAAAATCTTGAATTTTTGTTATAGCTTTTTCACCATCAACAAATTCCGATTTAGCAATAGCTATATCTTTCATTACTGTCATACCAAATGTTGGAACTTTACCTGTACAAATATCTTGAAAACGTTTACTAAAGAGAAGAAAAAAACATAATTAAATATAATATTAATCTGTTTTGTTTTTTATTATATGTACTGAAATCGTTCAAGTGTTTCAGGTGAAACTAAATTTCGAATAACAATAAAACCATTTTTTTCATAAAATTCACGTTGTTCATTAGTTAAATTTCCATTGGACAATGTAAAACGATATTCTGGTTGTTGTTGTTCACTTTTCTAAAACAAAACAAGATTTTCAATGAAAATAAAATGAAAATTCGATGAAAATATGTGACATACATATTGTGTACTTAATCGAATATGACGACCAATAGTTTCTAATCTGTTTGCAGACATCCAGGAATAGTTTCAAAGTAAACTGACTGTTATGATGGCAACCTCATACTTGAAACATACTTTCTTATCTAGTTCGAAAGGCAGGTCAACATAATATCAACATTCAACTTATGATTAGATAACTACCAATTATAAAAAAAAAAGTCATTTTGATTGATTTACTTAAAATATATGATTAGGTTATTATACATAAAAATCTTTTACATGATGCTAATAGATATATTAGGGTACATGACTAGACTGTTTATTGTATTTATCAATGGGCGACCTCTGTTTAATTTTTAAATATGACTATTTGTGAAACTTATAAAAGGAATACCTTTACTCTAGGACGTAATAATGCGTTTGGATATCATATATTTATTTATGATGCTAAAAGCTGATTTTATTTTTAAAACAAGTTTAAATAACAGACATGTATGTTTTTTTTACCTTCTTGTGAAAGAAAAATATGTAAATTTACAGAAAACAGTTCTTTGAACATGTTCTCGTTATCACCAGATTATTTTCAGAACGAATCAAAATCTTCATTCGTCACTTGGCAAAAAAGCACATGACGAAGTTTGAAATTTTGTTTCATATCTTTGCCGTTTGACAGAATATTTTTTATTAAACATATGTCTCAATAATCTTTTTAAGGTTTGTCGAAAAAGTGTTCCACCAATTGTTGCATAAATATAAAACGAGAGTGAACTTTGAAATGTTGTCATAATAAATGTTACTTCACCAGAAAATATTTCTATTCTTAAACGTAATGGACTTTTTTCGAAATCAAGTGTAAGAACTAAATATATACGTTGAATTGTATTTGGAATATATGATATCATAATTAAAATTATTTGTCCGATTAGCATCTAAATGAAAACAAAATAAATAGTGATGAAAAATTATTCAATGACAATTCAAACTATGCTTTTTCTACCTGAATAAGTTGTCGATCAATTCGATGAATAGAATTTTTTTTTGATCTATTCTTTTTTCGACTTTTTTTCACATTTTGTATTGTTCCACAGCCAAAAATTAGAATAAGTATACTTGGAATGAATACAAGTACTTTTAATCGAGCTATTTCATTATAAAGACCACACATACGTGTTGTANAACGTCAAGTTCAAAACCAATAAAAAGTCCATTCGATAGAATTGAAGAAAATGGGGGTTTGAATTTACATACAGGTTCTAATGGTGAACAGACTGTTTATGAATATTTGTTATATAAATATCGTCATCAATTAGATGCAGTTTCTATTAAATGGGAAAATCAAAATGGAGAAGCTCATTTATCTTATGATATATTATTAATTGAAAATGGAAAAAAACATTATATTGAAATAAAATCAACACGAACACATGATCAACATTCCTTCCAATTATCAATTAATCAAATCAAAGCTATTTTACAATACAGAGAAAACTATTCTATCTATCGTATTTATTTAGAAGAAAAAAAATTAGTCATTTTAGATAATATTCGATGGTGTATAAAACATAAACAACAATTAGCTTGTTTTTTTAACAATTAAGCCACAATCATTAGATCAAACTGTTAACACAAATGAATAAATTCAAAGATTAAATAAGACTTTACCTTTATTTATATTGCATTTTTTTTTATTAATTATCAATTCTTTGTAATCACTTTTATTTTTGTAATAGAATTTATTTTATATAAATGGAAATCTCTTTTTAACTATCATTGAAATTAATTTGTGTGAATTAATAATATTAACATCATTTACGGTAAATATTTTAAGCGTGCCGATCTCAAACAATGGCAACCACTACTAATTAATATGTGCATTTTTTAATAAGTTTTATTAGCATAATGGTTTTATTATTGAACTTCATTGGATTATGTCGAGAAATAATATCATCTTAAAATTCTAAAACAAACAGGCAAACTGTATAAGTCTAAATCACAACTATTTTAAATCTTTCTAAAAAAAATATATACGCATCATTCATACAGAACTTCCAACTAAATTTCTCGACGTCCAAAGACTTCCTATGAATTTTTTTCTTTTGTTTTACACAACATTCCATTGAATTTTGAAATACAGTCTGTTTTGATTAACTTTTTCAAAATATCAATAGGAAACGAACTGAATCAATTAGTTCAACATGAATATGATGTTGAAACAAATGAAGTTTGCGAACTTAGATGAACTAAATTTGAAGGTCTAAAAGAATTACTTTTAATTTTCGATTGATAATAAAATTGAGAAGCTTATAAATTTTTATTAAACACATTGTACTCCACTCACAAATGCATTTTTTTCTTCATCCGTTTTCTTCAACAGAGAATTTTTGTCTTCAGTCATACATGTCATCGAAAGCAACCATTTCAAAAAAAGTATCGACAACATCGTTTTGTAAGATGTCTATATGGTTACACAGTGAATAAGCATCTACAGTAGAATTCTGCTTTTGTTTTTTTTTTTTTTACAAAATGTATTTATGTGAGAAAAAGATCGATGAGTAGATTATTTAATTTTGTCTATTATGAAAACAAGATGACTTTAGAAAAGCTGATACGAGCATTTATCGACTTGTAGAGCTCTGATTAACGCGAAGAGAGCAGCTAAAAAAATATTTTTTTTTCTATTATGTTCAAACATGTACGATTATTATTTTGTTTTCCTTAATATGTACGAGATTATATTAGTTTCTATCAAGTTCATAAAAGTTTATTAAAACGACCTAATAGTTTATATACACGTTGCAGTGTATATTTTTTCGTTGTTTTCTCTTCAGTTCTTCTTTGTTCATCGCTGTGTTATATCTGTTTATTTTCTCATATGCTGCAAGTTTATTGTGCCAGCCCACATGTTACACTACTTTAAGTTAAGCATGAATCATGTTCTTTCCTGAAGGTCGTAGAGAAGAAGAGCAAATAGAACAAAAAAGAACGGAAGAAAAGAAGGAAGAAGAAAAACAACAAAGTAGGACAAAAATGAAAAAAATCGAATAGAGCTTGATAAAATGACTGTAGTCAGTGCTTTTTAACTATTTACCGTTCTTCAATAAAATGTTTTATATCGAAGTGATGATGACGCACGCAGTAATACGCCATTCGGTCGATTATTTTGTGCTGTTATTATATGATTTTATGGCAATAGACGTGATATATATTTTGGATATCATTTAATCGTAGAGAATTCGAGTATTTAACTGAAGTAGAAGAAATTATATACTTTGAATGCTTCATTTTGTGTGCTGTTTTAATCAGTAGTCAATAATGACATTTACGAGAGACCAGTTTTTGAGTGCTTTCATCGAACTCTTTTATTCTGACAGTCAACGTAGATGCATATATATGAAGCGATTGAACACTAATTTAATATCAGTTTTTCGCTTCCCTTTTTGCTGTTTAGAATGAAATAGAATTGCCATATTTAAGTTTTTTTGGCTATATCAGTAAGTATGAAGAAGAAGTGAATAGCTTTAGTTAGATATCATTAATAAGCTTTGGAACCATTTTTTCTTTTATATTTCGAATGTACAAAGTTAAATAGACATAGAATTAGAGAGATACTTTTTTGGCAAAAATATTAAAATATTTTTATCAAGTTTATTTTTTCTTTATATTTTTATCTAGTATTACACTCCATAAAAACGCAATAATAACAATGACTCACAGTGTATTTGTCCAACTTTACATACTCGAAAAATAAGAAAATATACGAAATCGATGAAACAATATTGATACATGTTATTTTCACAGAACATGCAGTAGTTAAACGAGTTTTTTTTAAACTAGAATACCTTTTATCATATATCTTGACATATTATACTAAAAGTGCAGTTTTTGCATTAGATGTATCTCTCTCTTCGAATTATTTTTTTATCGTTCATCTGATTGGATGATGCAATAGCGGTAACTATTGAAGCAAAATTTCTTTACTTACAGAACAGCAACAAATTACTATTGAGTCTTAATTTCATTTCGACTCAATAGTGGTCACATCATTAGTCCTGACTAACATCCTTTTTCATACCTCTGCAATGAACGTGAGTTCATGCAACTATTTATTGTTGGTACACATCTACTGATACCTACATGATAAAATCTATGAGCACTTTTATTCTAGATAATATGTCGTCCTTCGATCGCCCACCTGAGTAAGTCGGTACTACTCATACATGAGTACCCAATCAAATAACATCTTTTTCTAAATCCAATAGAAACAAGTCACGTGAGATGTCCGCTCACAATAATGTAGCATCCACATTTACATGTCAATGTGGACAACAATATGATGATCAGATGGCTTTAAATGAACATAAGGTCAGCAAATATTGAATATCACTGATAAAATGAATATAGTTGTTTTAGAGAACAAACTGTCAAGGCCGAGGATTTTTCTGTCAATTATGCGATGAAATATTGCCAACATCAGAGGCCATGGGTGCTCATTTATTTCAATGCGGTAATAAGACTAATAGATGTCCCACTTGCCAAAAATATATTCGACGAGCAATCTATTACTATCATGTGAATCACGATTGTATCGATCTGGATGAAATCGACACAAATAGTAGCGGTTCTCATAAGGTTAACTCAAGATTTCAGCAACGTAGGATTGAATTGTTTTGTTTCATAAACCTATATATTCTTTTGTTTTCATTCTTAGAATACAATAAATCAAATAGAATCGTAAGTTAATATAATGATCGAAGATTTAAAGAAAAATATCATCGAATTTGTAATGTGAAATTCTTTCTCAATTTTTGAGAAGTCATAAAAAAATGGATGATTTATAACTATATCAGATGGATTGTCACCTTGATAAATGCATTGATTCAAATATATATTTTTAGGATACAAAACGCATTGGATCAGCATCTTTAGATGAAATAAATACGTCGTTTGAAAGAGTAAGATTAAATCCAAATAGAGAATTGGCTAACACTTCAACAAATGGGACAATAGCGAGCAAAGAAAACGCAGTGTCAACTTTGCACGAGAAAACTTCACAAATACAGGAGCATCTATGCAGCGATTTTTATTCAACTGAAGTAAATCATATCACAGAAAAATTTCAATTCAATATTATTCTCATCGGATCACCACGTGTCGGCAAAAGTCAACTCATTAATGCGATATGTAATGGTGAGGATAAAGCTCAAACTAGTCCTAGTCTGAATGCATGTACGAAAGAAGTAAAATGTTACTATTTGGAAGACAATCAGAAAAAAATGCCTGGTGTAAAACCGTTTCGAGTCAATTTTTATGACACACCAGGTATCGAATCATGGGATAATCAAGATGGTCAAACGACTATGCTCAAATTTATTGAAGAAAAAAATCCTGTTTGTGTTATCTACTGTGCTGCACCTGGAACGTTCGCCAATTTGTCACAAGTTCGTCCTGTATTGAAATTTTGTCAGCAAAAACAGATCTTTTGGGCTTTCGTCTGCACGAATATGTGGTCGAATGCCTCTCGAAAAGTAGTCATGGGTGAGTTTGAAAAAGAATTGGCCATTTTCGGTACTGGAGTTGAAAAATCGTTTGATCAACAGCATTCTCAAACTCCTCACAAAGTAACAGTTTTTGGTAACCATGCACTTTGCACAATGGTCAATTCAATTGAATATTATGATCCTGAATATTCACCCGAGAAAAAGCCAGTGCAAGGTATTGACGAACTCATTCATTGTATAATGGAAGCACTTGATAATGAAAAATTACTGGGTTGGTGTAATGCCGTATTGTATCGTCGCAGTTATTGGGAAAAAGTTAGCCAAAAGGTCAGTGGTTTTATTTCGCTTCGTCTCAAAGACTTACAAAATATGACAGGTGGATCGATCCAACAAATTTCAATGAATGCAGTCATGTATATTTCTAGTATGATACGAAAACGTTGAGTGTCATCGTGTGCTATTATTCTTGTTTTGTTATTTATTATTTCGTAATACACGTCTTTTTGATTTTTCTAGATAATTTTTCTCATTTCTAATTATGCCCAAACAGTTTAATATAGCAGTTTGTGGATCAGCTCGTGTTGGAAAAAGTACTCTTGTTAATGCTTTATGTGGAAGACAAGTAGCCCAAACAAGTAACAGTTTATGTTCAGCAACTGACGAAATGAAAAAGTATGTGTTGAATCATGCTTCTCAATCAGTGAATGAAGCTGCAAGTTCAACTGAATATTCTATTACGATCTGGGATACACCAGGTGTTGAATCTTGGACTAAAGATCATGTTCAAAAACATTTTACGGATATCATGCATGAGAGTACTCCACTCTGTATGATTTATTGTGCATCTCCTGGTTCATTTGCTCGACTCGATCAATTACAATGGCTTGTCGATACATGTATTAAATCAAATATTTTTTGTGCTCTTGTCTGTACGAACAAGTATAGTGGAGGAAGTGAAAAACGTACTCATGTATTGAGTGAATTTCATTCACTTCTTTCTCGTCATCATACTATGACACGTGATAATGCTAATATAAAATATTATGGAAATGTTGGCCTGTGTACATCAGTAAATAGTATTATTTTTGAAGATACAGATTTTGGAATAAGAAAAGACGTTGAAGGCATTAATGAACTTATTTTTGCCATCACAACATCGTTGAAAGATGATAAGCTCGTCGCTTGGTGTTACACTGTTGCTGAAAACCAATCGTTCTGGTTGACAATGCGTGATCAAATTGTGGAATTATTCAACATATGTCGTCCTATTGTGGAAGAATTTCTTCAAAACGAAGGCAAAAATATTGCAAAAGGTCTAATCCCATTGATTATGAAAGAAATTATTAAGAAATAATCAGACTATGATGATACATATTGATCTGTTGAAACGTTTTGATTTGTATTTTACTTTTCTCAATACATTATTCGTGTTGCTCTCGGGTGTGTTAAAAATTGTTCGCTTTAACTCGTTTATCGCCTGAAAGTAAATGTCAAAAAAACGATGATTAATCATATCAATTTTTCAGGTCATTTTACTCTTTCTCTCTAAACACATTGATTCCTAGATTCTTGTTTACTACAAATTTGAGGTGAAAGTTCTACTGTTTTTTCGTATATTGTAAATTGCTTTCTAACATAGGGTGTGGATGGGTGAGGACGGAGGATAGGGTGAGGAGAAGATACATCATTACTCTCATTCTCATCCACCCATTTCACATAGCGACAATTGTAGAGTTATCCAATACGGACTTGAGTTCAAGTCGGATGATCGAAAAACTGTTCACCTTACTCTCACTACGTAGTATTTGAAAGTACGACAAATATGAAATGTTTTCTTGATTACTTTTTTTTCTATGAATAATTTTTTCTATATTATGTTTGCGATTAGCTTCTAGACAATAAAGATCGATGGAAGAAAATATTAATCAATCGAACATCCTTATTTGCGGTTCGGCTCGCGTTGGNTATACTCTAATACATAGTACTCATAACATTCATCTCTATAACGAGTCTATTTAGGGTGTGAGTGTGGGTGTTCTCTCGCTCTTAACCCACCCATATCAACTCATATACATACATCTACATCCATATCCACTCGCAATTACACCCTCACCCTTTTACGTGTTTTTTCAAGAGTCTTGTCTGACTGAGTAGTGCTTTTTACTAGAAGTCCTGAGAAATGCTTAAATACAAGAAAAGACACAGCACTTTTCAGCGATTTTCCGTGTAAGTGCTGTACAGTGCTTAGAAATAACAACATTTAAAGCACGTTTCAGCGATTTTTATGGTAAGTGCTAGAAAGCGCTTAGTGAAACCGTTTTCTAAGCTAAAATAAGCAGCTTATTTGAGTGAAGCGGCTTTTAACAGCTTAAGACGAGAATATTTAAGCGCTTTACAGCAGCTTATAGAAGTATAAGTGTTTTTAAGCTGCTTGCAAAGAGCTTACAAAGGCAAAAATTTTCACATGGGGTGTAGTATGTCAACATGCTCATCATGATCTGTGATCAAGCCAAAAAAACAGTATGTTAAAATACCTGTCACGAGAAATGTGACAAGTCTGCGATATCAATTTTCTTGTTATATAAATTGATATTCATGAATAATTCTTTTCCACAAAACCATATGTGCAGTACTTACAGTTAGGTTCATGAAGTTTAGTTTGGAATTTAATAGTATTAGTTTCCAGTTTTTGTGCGATCATTCTTTTAATATCACTTTCCTTGATTGTTTCATCAAGATCATGCACCATTAAACATCGTTTACAAGATTCTAAATCTCTGTCTATAATAATTCGTGTTGATTTCTAAAAGAAAATTTTAGAATTGACATAGAATATAAATTAAATAGAAAGTGTATAGATACCTGAGGCATATTGCTGTATTTGTAGGTGTATATTAAAGATTGAATGGAGAAGTTTCTAAAAAAAAAAAGATTTATATATGCCTGTATTTTTCTTTTTCTTCCTACTTTCAAACCAATAGATGACGGTCGTAAAATAAATATTTTATTGATTTCTGTCTAGAACAAATTGCATTGCACAACTTTTCATCTTTTTTATTTTTCAGTGGGAAAATTTTTTCCCAATTAAAATTTCCAGTCTCTAAAGCAATTTCCGCATAGTGTTTGACTACGGAATGGCACAATGTATTTGTATGAATCTAGAACATAAACATTGGAAATTCTGAGTTATGAAATCACTCTTATTCAATTTAACACATACTGTATTCATTTTCTCGGAATAAGAGTGTAAGAGCCGAGAATGAATATAAATATGCCATCGATTTTGACTTTGCTATAGTGATCATCATTTCTTTTTCAAATTGAGCTATGGATGGATGTGTAGCTTCTTGATATACTGAACAACACCGATACTCAACTACAAACTTTCGAATTTAAATGAATATAGATAAAGAAGCATTGACAAGAATGAGCGATGTTATTATTCATGTCGAAGTTTTCTTTTCTTGATGATGACCTTGTTGCATTAACTCTCTATAAAGTAATAACAATGCTGTTTATATTTATACTTTATCAAAAAATGCTTAGATCGAACAAAATATTCTTAATTACAGATTCGAATAAAAGTCTATCACAATAAGATCTTCAATATATTTTATGCTATTAAAATAAAATTCTTTTTCACTGATAAATAAATATAATTCATTTTAATACACAACTTTTAATTATCAGAAATTCCCAAAAAACAAAAAAGAATCAACAAGTATAGAAACCAATGAATAATCGTTTTAGAGCTATTCTAATGAATATAAAAGATTCTCTAGCATAGTTTTTATAAGAGAACATTTTCATAGATCATTTAGTCCGAAATTGGATAACAATCGAAAAAAAAATTCCACAAGTACTTTACTTAATAAATAATATGATTAACCTTCTAGGAAAATGAACTTCAATTTGGTATTGAATAAGACTTTTGACATGTAAAAAAAAAACTCATAAACGTAAATCTGATTTTGTTTTTTTTGTTATAGTTGAAAATTTTTGATATTTTATACCGACCGAAGGGAAATAATTTCCTTTTGATTGGAAACTTATGAAAAACTTGCATACATGGACACTAATCGATTCTCTGCATTTTCTTTCTCTTTTCTTCTCTAATCAGCCGAACAAAAAAAAACAACTCCGCCAATGGTGCCTTGATAAAACAACATTTTTTTTCTTTTGCTATGTCTTATAAAAGAACAGAAAATAATTAAATGACATGCACATTCATTTTCTATATGTTATACACAGGCACTGATTTTATTTTTCGTACTTCTCCCGATCGGCAATGCCATGGCATCTGTATACTCTTTGATGTGCTCTACTAATTAAACCAATTTGTGTATAGGTTGTCGTCAATTTAGATATGTTCAGATTTCGAGAAAAGAAAATTACATTAATTTTTGTTATTTTCATAACTTCGAAAGCCACATGCCAATGTATAGAAACAAATATCAAGAAGTTTGCAAAATCCATAAATTATGCTAATGTCAATAATTATGGATAATTCAGAAATTTAGGAAATTACAAGAATTTCGAACGTATTAACAATTTGTGGAATTCCAGAAATGTTCTTTTCTGAAAACTTGAACATTATTGTGTCTAATAAATTCTATAATAAATATGTCCAAAGAAAGCTGATGAGCGCGACTTTCAAGGATATACTCATGTAACCAATTGAAATTAATCGACGATCGTCGAAATAATTTTAAAAGCAAGGTGAAAAAAAGCAAATATGCAATACTTCACCCTACTCCAATGGTATGCCAAAGCTGTTTTGCTCATTATATATAATTCTGTCCTGCAATAAAGCCCAAATATTTCATCGTGCTTCAAAATCTGAATACCAGCAAAGCTTAATATCCATTTTTTTTTTCATCACAATCGCATTCTTTCTAAAACCATCTCGCAATAGAAGATCGCGAATCTTCTTTGTGTCTCATTTATTTCGATAATTTTTACTTAAAAAGATTTTCCAGAAGACAAAAACGATTTTGAATATTTCGGAAGATATTATTAGGACTTTAAAAGTCCTGAAATAATGCTGAGCACAGTCTTTTAAGATTTTCAACTCAAAACACTGAAAACTTGGCACATTTTGGCGTAAATATACCAATTAATGTTCCATTTTTTAAGAAATTAATTAATTAAGTGAAGTCTTCTATTGCAGTGAGAAGTTTAGCTTATGTGGTATTGGTAGCGAAATATGTACTCTTATTATGTTTTGCGCTAGTTGTGCCTTATTTGTGATATTCGAATTGGTACCACATCAAAGTCAGCTGATGAAACTCTTACGCAAGGAGGAAACCTGTCATGTTAGTTCGATACATTCACATCCTTATAGCTTATATATCAGTATGGATACGATATTGTCGTTATCGAATTCGAAAACAACTTTTTACATTCGGCAATTGTTTTAAGATTCAAGGTGAACTTAAACGTGATAAGTATGGTATTTTATGTGGATGTTAAATAAAAAGCTTATGCTGGAAGATATAGATTGATAGAAAGTTAAAAAAAAACTAACCCAATATTTTTCTTTTTATATTGTAATCTTTGTAATGGTATTTTTACATATTTAGTTGAGCTGATTCATTTGAATAATGATAAACAAGACGAAGATGATGCTTTTATTTTGAGACTGATTATTGTTTTTCATTGCTCACTTGATTGTTCATGACAAATAATTTTTTTCTCTTTATATTGTTGTTTAAATATTATATTTAAGAAATATTCAAGCATTATAACTGTCGACCTAGAAAGCGAAAACAGGCACTTAAAGCAGTTGTCTCATCTGACGAAGAAGACTCTGTCTGATCAGTAATAGTAAAAAAAAAGAGAATGTGTAAATATCATAAAAAGAGAAAAAGTTGAAAACATTTTAAAAAGATCCGGAAACAATGTTTAGGTATTAACAAAGATTTCGGTAATATCCAAACCAACGGATAGTGATCATGATGATATTAGAAGAAGTCTGCTTGCTCATACTTATTCAAATAAACAAAAAACAATGGATATTATAGATTAATTATCATTAGGTCATCAAGAACAGTGCCTAATTTACGAATCAAGATATTATTTTATCGGTTTTGAATAATTATTGCTCATTAGAAAAGGATATTAGTGCCGATCTAATATCAATCTGTCCAATAATTGATCTAGAAGTGGTCACATATAAAATTTATTAGGATAAGATAAAGATTTTTCTCTATATGAAACAGTAAGAAAACGTAATCTCGAGTATTTTGACGTCATATAGAGTAGCAAAGTTTCCATATAATCTCATACTTAAGGTGACTTGGGTATTCAGAACAGAAAGAATAGTTTATAGACAAATTAATTCAAGAAAAGTAG